CCTTTCATTCATTTATTCATTCCTGCTTCAAAGCCTCGCGGGAGGGGGAAAAGGGAAACGTAGAGCTGGAAGAGTTTGTTGGTAGTACAGCTATTTTTGTTCCCAATAATAAGGAACAAAACACACCCCACATTAGTAATTAAACTTGAAATCCCAAAATCATCGACCATGAACGCTGAGAAGCAGCAAACATGACCGTAGTCACAAACACTGAGGTGAGGTCAGGCAGTGTTGGATAAGATACGTATATGTGTCTGTTGTATTTCAAAGTGCAACATTAGGCTGGTGAGGTTGATTGCTTCGCTGAAACAGCCCGCTAGTGAGGATTATAAGTGCCCCATTAGTCAACGGGAGTGACTACTTAGGATCCATTTCCTTTGTGGAGGGGATGCTGAGGCCACAGATTGGCAAGGTGATGGGTATCCAGCAAAAAGCTCAGATCTGTATGGTGATTACTGTTTGCAAGACTCGTTTGAGTTCAAGAAAGGACTGGATTTCAGATATTGATTTTGTATACCTTGGTTCAATCATCAATGCAAATAGAGACTGCAGCCAAGAAATCAGAGGAAGACTGAGGCCTGGAAGGGCAGCCAGGAAGGATATTAGAAAAGATCCTCAAGTGTCAGGATGACCAAGACCAAGATTACTCACACTCTTGGATTTCCAGTCAACCTGTATGGATGTGAAAGCTGGACAAGAAAGAAAGCCAACAAGGGGAAAAATCGTTTGAAATGTGGTGCTGGAGGAGAGAGCTTTGTGGATACCCCCGGGCTGTCAAAAAGATGAAAAAGTGGGTCCCAGATCAAATAAAGCTTGAACTCTCTCTGGAAGGCAAACATGTTGAGACTGAGGCTGTCCTACTTCAGGCACCTCCTGAGAAGAACAGGAGTCTCTACAGTACAGTAAGAGTCCAGAGGTAAACAGAGTTGCGATTCCTAGACAAACCCTGAGAACGTGTTTATAAGTGCGATTGACTCAGTGGAGGTCCGACGTCACTTCCTGCCTTCCTGGACCAAGTGGGAGGGGCGTGGTTGTTGCCACTGCTGGTGCCAGAGCTCCCTTTTGGGGAGGGAATCCGGTGAGTTCAGACCAGGGGGAAGCAGATCGATCGGGATCTATTGGGAGATCTCTGGGTGGATTGCCGTCGATTCCTGTCCTTTCTGATTGTTCCGCCTGTAGGGCCGGCAAGGCTTTGTGCCCCATCCCATCTTAAGTTAAGCATCTGCCAAAGCAACTTCCCCCCCCCCACAAAGCCTGGCCGCCCCACACGTGTGGACTGTCACACCCATAATTCCCTGCCAGGTGTGGCAGATTATATCATCCAACCATGCCATGCTGGGTTGGATCAGTGGTTCTTAACCTTTGTTACTCAGGTGTTTTTGAACTGCAACTCCCAGAAACCCCAGCCAGCAGAGCTGATGGTGAAGGCTTCTGGGAGTTGCAGTCCAAAAACATCTGAGTAACAAAGGTTAAGAACCAGCGGGCTGGATGATATAATCATCTGGATGAGGGCACTCCAGAAATCAGGAAAAGGGAGAGGAGCGAGTACAGGGAATATGTAAATAACCCTTTCCATTAGTCTGGTCCCCCCCCATCAAACTTTTGGACTACAAATCCCATCGTCACCTTTAACTGTGACTGCACTGTCTGGATGAAAGGGGGGGAATTCCAGAAGAATGGAGACAAAGGAAACAGGGAATGGGGAGATTAGATGATTAAATGAAATGGAATTGGCTTGGTGGATGGGTACCATTTTGTTTGAAATAGGTATGTCTCAGGCAATAGTAGAAAATAAAGCTCTAACTCACTCCCTGAAGCACAGAATAAGATTCAACAATTTCAGTAGGAAAAGTGGTGGCACCTGAACACAGCAGACCAAGGAGCTTTCATCTTTGCTAGGGACAATTTGACTCTTGTTAATCCCCTCTCCTATAGGGTGACACCTAGCAGATGAAAAATATGGAAGCCTCAGGAACTGGACAACAAGTGTGATACACAAGGCACCTCATTCACTATTTCCCCTTCCAGGTATCTTTGGATTGAATAATAAAATGGTGACATATCAGGGAAAGGCGCTGGACCTTCAGCTAGGACCTGCCCTGAACCAAGGAGTGAAGATGGAGGAAGACTTCATGGGCCCAGAGGCAGGAGAAGGAGCAGGAAATGGCCATTCTTCATTCCCGTCCAGCCACATAAAGGAATATTGGGAACGCTCTGCCGCAGATGCTGAAGGATTGGCAACCCCCACGGGTCTGAAAGAGCAATGGGAGGCCCAATGGCAGCAGTTCCTGAAGATGATAGAAGCCCCCAATTTTGAAGTGCCTGCAGGAAGTTGCCCCAGTCGGGCTGTTATTCTCTCCACTTGTGAGGAAGCCTGTAGTGTCAGCCAAGCCCAGCCAAGAGAGATTGTTCCCCAGGTCCTTTACGTCTCCTCGGAAGAGGCCCATGGGCCCCCAGGCAGGACAGGGAGCAACAGGATAGTGAAAGAGGAGAACCCAAACACGGAAGGGTGCAAGGAAAGGAACCTTGTCGAGGGCTTCAGGGAGCTCTGCTATGAGGAGACGGAGGGGCCCCGGAAAGTTTGCGGAAAGCTCCGTGAGCTGTGCTATCAGTGGCTGGAACCAGAGAGGCACAGCAAGGAGGAGATCCTGGAGCTGGTGATCCTGGAGCAGTTTCTGACCATCCTGCCGTGGGAGATGCAGAAGTGGGTCAAGAGGGGTCATCCGGAGACCTGCTCTGTGGCAGTGACTCTTGCCGAGGAGTTCTTGCAGCAGCAGCAGCAGCAAGATCCTGGAAGATGGGAGCACTTGGTGAGTGAGGGCATTGTGATAGTGAGCATGTTCTTCAGCCCAGTTCATGAAACCCACTTTGGACATCTTAGAAGCCTTGCTCAACTCTTGTAAACTGAAGCTTTTCTGTTCCCTAAGGATGTCGGTCTGCTTTAGGGTTGCCACCACTGCAATTCAGTGGACGTGGTCTTTTTGCCCCCTCCTTTTTTGACTGTTAAGCATGGGTGGGGTTGGGGGTTCTGTGTAGTGCCAGAATGCAAACCCCAGAGATGCCCTTCAGTGATTGGATTCTTGTTCTAGATTAAGCAGTTTCTCCTCTTTAATGAGAGTCATCACAGGAGACGGGTTAACATTAACCAAAGGTTTAATATCTTTCAACGGGGCAGGATGTACATCAACTTTGCCACATTCACTGCACTGTACAAGTGCAGTGAATGTGGGCAATGTTTCACAGACGTTTCAGGTCACATTCCTTGTAAACCTGTCATAACTGCCCTGTTTGCCCGAAAATAAAACCAAACCTGAAAATAAGCCCTAGTGTGATTTTTCAGGATGCTCATAATATAAGCCCTACCCCCAAAATAAGCCCCAGTTAAGTAAAACTACACCCTTGTGCAGCAGCCAGAAGAAGATGACAGGACTGTATTTGAATAAATGTAGATGGTTGCCCATGAAAAAAGTAAAACATATCCTGAAAATAAGCCCTAGTGCGTTTTTTGGAGCAAAAATTAATATAAGACCCTGTCTTATTTTCGGGGAAACACGGTAGCAATTCTTTTAACCGGGACGTTGGACAAGCAGTAGTTCCAACGGGACCAGCAGCCACAGATGTTTCAGGCCACATTCCTTGTAAACCTCTCATAACTAGCAAGTCCTTTAATGGGGGGGACATTCCAAACCTCTCGTGGTCAGTAGGTTTCCTCAGCAATTGACTCCTCATCTCACAGATAGTCCCGCAACAAGGGTGTCAACCCCATTCGCCCTTGGTGGTGTGTGGTATACATGGGGGATAGGCTCCAGATGCAACACCTTCTTCCAAGGACCCTTCCCTCTCAGGGAAACATACACGGTCCCTTCCAATGGCTCTACTTCACCCAACTGTATCTCAATTCCCACGCTTCCACATCCCCGGGAGGTTCCCTTTCCTCTCTCAGTTTTCATCTCTCCCGTTTGGGGAAAAGAGAACATATAGGACCCTTCTTCCCCCTTTGACAGGTGCCCCTCCTCGCTCTTTCTCTTCTACTTCCGAGCTCTCTCACTTTTCCCTCTGAACCCCAACTCTGCTCCCTTTATATAGCTCCTATCCCGCTAACATCCTTCCTCCTTCTCTGTCATTAAGAAACCCTCCACCCTCCACCATCGGCTGCTCCTTTCCCACCACTGTCTTCCCGCCTGCTTCTCTTTCTGCCTTCCTGCCTTCTTCTAGAACCAGGTTCTGAACCACAGAAGGTAGTGAAGTAAAGAGGGTGCTGCATCCTTTGGCCCTAGAGGTGTGAGGGGACGTCTCACTTCTAGGTTTAGCCGCTCTCACTGGTTGCTCTTCACACCTTCCCATCAGACGATAGGATGCCCCCCGTCATGTCTTAAGTGGTCGCATAGACCAGATGGGCGGGATTCAAATCAAATCAATCAATCAATCAATCAATCAATCAATCAATTAAGGGCCTCGTAAGAGAGAACATCGTTTTAGCTAGCGTTGTTGCCATTTCCTGTAATTTTTTTCCCAGAGGCAGAACGGTGGGAAAACAGGAGTGTTCTCGTTAAGTGCAGACCACAAAAGGCCCTCAAGTCCTTGGAAGTTGCACACCCCTGCCCTGGACCCTTGCTATTCGTTCAATCAATCAATCAATCAATCAATTAAGGGCCTCGTAAGAGAGAACATCGTTTTAGCTAGCGTTGTTGCCATTTCCTGTAATTTTTTTCCCAGAGGCAGAACGGTGGGAAAACAGGAGTGTTCTCGTTAAGTGCAGACCACAAAAGGCCCTCAAGTCCTTGGAAGTTGCACACCCCTGCCCTGGACCCTTGCTATTCGTACATTTCCTTCCTACCTATGGGGGAGGGGAGCTCTAATTCCCAGGAGGCCCCATGGGCAGCTTCCTTTTCCAACAGGAAACTAGGCCCAAACTTGGCCTGTCCTGGTCCATGAGACCTTCCAGCCCAGCTTCCTTCCAGGTGACTAAAATCAAGGTGTCCATGTGTTAGACTGAAACTCCAAGAACTGAGAATTCTGGAATTTGGTGTTTGGAAAAACAAACAAACACCCAAATGCACCTGCCTCATGCCTGCTAGTCACTGTATCAGTGATTTTCAACCTTGGGCTTTCCTATTCTTGTGGACTTCAACTCCCAGAATCCTTCACCATTGGCCATGCTGGCCAGGATGTTCGGGAGATTATGTCCAAAATATCAGGGGGATTAAAGACTGGGAACTAGTGAATTTTTATGTGTGACAGTTTTGTTGACTAGCTTAGGATATGCCTGTTCTACCCCAGTTTGCCTGATTTCGTTGCTGAAAGGCAAACAGGGGATGATGGTCAATGTGGCAGTGGTGAATTAGAAAATCCCTTGTGGAAACCATTGTGTTGTGTTTTTTTCTGGACCAAGAAATGTCTTGAAGTATGAAGGGGATGGCATCAAAGAGAGAGAAAGGAACTAGTGGGTGATACTCGGTTTAATTCCTACCACTCTTGGCTTTGTTTTAGATGTGCAGAACATTTGATGAGAGATCGGCCCAGTTCCCCGAAGCAGAGCAGGCTGGATCGGAGCCTGGGCAGGAGCTGCTTTTCAAAGAAATCAAGCAGGACGGCCACTATGTGTTGATTGGTAAGGACCCCATCTTCCTTAGCTCAAAGGCAGGCAATGTCCAGACGTCTGGGGGGGGTGACACCCATTCTCCTGGACCTTGGCAGGCCACCCCTATGAATCCCCCATCGCTCCCATCCTCTAAAATCTTTCTTACCAAAATGGTGATTTTTTTGTTTCTTAACAACTGAAAACTCTTATGCCGTCTGCCCTTCCATCCTTCTGAGGTCAGTAAATTGAGTACTTAGCTCATGGAGCTGGGCTCCATCCTTAAATTATAAACTGCCCAGAGAGTGCTTCAAGGGCCATATGAGGCCGTATATAAGGATCACGCTTTTTCTTACGAAATTTAAGATTTGCTTTTTAAAACACCTAAAAATTCTGGTGTCCTCTTGTTAAACATTGTTGTGATGGGGTTTTCGTGAGTGTTGGGTAAGACCTCAGAACAGGAAAACCTTGGACACCTCTAGTGCTCCGGGCAGGGAATTCAGGAATCTAAAAAGTGGTTCTGTTTTTCAAAAACATGTAATATTTCAGGATGTGGTAAAGAGGCAGGATGCTAGGGAGGCACCTCTCTACTACTGGGGAGCACCATGTGCTCTACTGAATGCACGATGCTCATTCCCAGCCTAGGAATGTGAGTTGTTACGGTCAAGTGCAGTTTCAGTTATTTGATGTTTCTGAGGTTGTGTGGGAAAATTGTATGCCTCTAAAATGTATATATCTATGACAGTAGCAAATGAATATTATAAATGTATATAAATGTATATATCTGTATGCTAGTAGCAGGCATCATGCCCTAGCTGCAAGACACGTACATATTCAAGAACTTGTCTAACTTGTCTATGTACTCAGGAAATTATCTGTTGACCATTATCTGTGTCTGTTTACTATTAACTGTCTGTTTACCAGCCTGTCTGTTTACCAACCACTGTGTTTACTGATGCCTTTGTATTCAAGGAAATTAGCTGTCTCTATTTACCAGCACTCTGGTTATTCTGGTTGTGTATTCAGGAAATTAGTTACCTCTGTATTGATTAACTTGTTCAAAGGTAGGGGATACAATAAACTGAGGGGAGGCTGGATCGAGAAAAAGAGAGAACTCCTACTGAACAGGTGCCTCACGGCAGGCTGTTCTGTATTCATCCGGATCCCATCCTGAAAACCACACTCTGAGTGTCCCGTGTCTCTTTTCCTTTCTCCTTGCTGGTTGAGGAGAAAGATCCCTGCCCTGAGGCTTCATCTGCAAGATCCCTACTTCCTCTCATCTTGCAGATCCCGACAAGGTTGGTTTGTAAAAGCGTGGGAAAGGCCTCTCTGTTGGAGGAGACAAGCCCTTCATGTTTTGTTTTGTTTTGTAGGACAATAATAACAATTTTTAAACTGTAGAGCTGGAAGGGATCCTATGGGTCTTTGAGTCCAGCCCCTGTCAAGGAGGCAGAGTGGGGGAATCGAACTCCCAACCTCTGGATCTGCAACCAGAGACCTCAGCCGCTGACGCATCCAGATTACACATCTACAGAAGACTGTGTAACCTGGAGCACAAGTTAGTACCAAGAACCTGAGAATTCAACGGCTAACATCCTGTTCACAAAGGCTGATGATGCCATAAGGGGCATTTTTTTTCAGAAATTGAGCATTTCCTACTTCTGTCCTGAAGCTCCCACAGCATCCATCTCAACCCTTTCATTGTTAGGAAGCTGTAGGAGGTGGGGGACAGGAAGTCATAAGTACCAACCGTCACTGCTGCCGATAGTCGTATCAGTGACAGTCACTTATTTGTAATTAAACACTATCGTCTCCCAGCCCGTAACTCCTGTAGCTCCTTTAAGATCAAAAAGATTCCATAGGAGCAGTGGAAGCCTTAGAACAGAAGTTAGGTTGATGTCATCAACTAAGGCTGATGACATCATCAGCCTTAGGCAGACATAAGAGACGCGACAGAATTTCTTCCTGAGTGTTGGGGCATCTTGTTCAAAATTACGTCTGCTG